CTGCTTGCTGCAGAGATGAGTTCAATTCCTTGATATCCTTGGTGCTAACTTTCTGTCTCATTGATCTGCTCTAATGTTGACAGTGGAGTGGTTGGAAGTCTCCATTATTATTGTATGGGAGTCTAAGTCTCTTTGTAAGTCTCTTAAGGACTTGCTTTATGAATCTGGGTGCTCCTGTATTGGGTGCATATATATTTAGGGATAGTTAGCCTTTCCTGTTGAATTGACTTTACTAATATGTAATGGCTTCTTTGTCTCTTTTGATCTTTCATGGTTTAAAGTCTGTTTTATCAGAGACTAGTATTGCAACCCCCGCTTTTGTGTTCTCCATTTGCTTGGTAAATCTTCCTCCATCCCTTTATTTTGAGCCTATGTATGTCTCTGCGTGTGAGATGTGGGTCTCCTGAATACAGCAGACTGATGGGTCTTGACTCTTTATCCAGTTTACAAGTCTGTGTCTTTTTAATTGAGCATTTAGTCCATTTACATTTAAGGTTAAGATTGTTATGTGTGAACTTGATCCTGCCATTATGATATTAACTGGTTATTTTGCTCGTTAGTTGATGGGCTGCTTCTTCCTAGCTCCTACGGTCTTTACATTTTGGCATGTTTTTGCAATGGCTGGTACCGGTTGTTCCTTTCATGTTTAGTGCTTCCTTCAGGGTTCTAAGGCAGGCCTAAGGTACAAAATCTCTAAACATTTGCTTATCTGTAAAGGATTTTATTTCTCCTTCACTGAATTTAGTTTGGCTGGATATAAAATCTAAGTTTAAAATTCTTTTCTTTAAGAATGTTGAATATTGGCCCCACTCTCTTCTGGCTTGAAGAGTTTCTGGCGAGAGATCTGTTAGTCTGATGGGCTTGCCTTTGTGGGTAACCCGACCTTTCTCTCTGGCTGCCCTTAAGATTTTTCCTTCATTCCAACTTGGTGAATCTGGAATTATGTGTCTTGGAGTTGCTCTTCTTGGAGGAGTATCTTGTGGCGTTTGCATTTCCTGGATTCAATGTTGCCCTGCCCTACTAGGTTGTAGTTCTCCTTGGGATGACATCCTGAAGAGTGTTTTCCAACTTGGTTCCATTTTCCCCCTCACTTTCAGGCACCCCCAATCAGACGTAGATTTGGTCTTTTTACATAATCCCATACTTCTTGCAGGCTTTGTTCATTTCTTTTTCTTCTTTTTTTCTTTTGGTTTCTCTTCTCGCTTCATTTCATTCATTTGATCCTCAATCGCTTGACATTCTTCTTCCAGTTGATCGAGTCAGTTACTGAAGCTTGTGCATTGTCACGTATTTCTCGTGTCATGGTTTTCATCTCTTTCATTTGTTTATGACCTTCTCTGCATTTAATTGCTCTAGCCATCAATTCTTCCACTTTTTTCAAGATTTTAGTTTCTTTTGCGCTGGGTATGTAATTCCTCCTTTAGCTCTGAAATTGATGGACTGGCTCTCTTCTCTCATCTCGCCGAAGTCATTCTCCGTCCAGCTTTGATCCGTTGTTGCCGGCGAGCTGCGCCTTGCCGGGGAGAGGCGCTCTTATTTTGAATTTCCAGCTTTTTTCTGTTCCTGGGTTTTTTTCCCCATCTTTGTGGTTTCATCTGCCTCTGGTCTTTGATGATGGTGATGTACTGATGGGGTTTGGTGTAGGTGTCCTTCCTGTTTGATAGTTTTCCTTCTAACAGTCAGGACTCCCTCAGCTGTAGGTCTGTTGAGATTGCTTGAGGCCACCCAGACCCTGTTTGCCCGGGTATCAGCAGCAGAGGCTGCAGAAGATAGAATATTTCTGAACAGCGAGTGTACCTGTCTGATTCTTGCTTTGGAAGCTTCCTCTCAGGGGTGTACTCCACCCTGTGAGGTGTGTGGGTTGTCAGACTGCCTCTAGTGGGGATGTCTCCCAGTTAGCTACTCCGGGGTCAGGGACCCAATTTGAGCAGGGTGTCTGTCCCTTCTCAGATCTCAACCTCCGTGTTGGGAGATCCACTGCTCTCTTCAAAGCTGTCAGACAGAGTTGTTTGCGTCTGCAGAGCTTTCTGCTGCGTTTGTTGTTTTCTTAATTCTTTTTAGATAGCTCACTACCAGTGCATAGATATGTAACCAATTTTTGTGTGTTCATTTTGTATCCTGCAACTTTGGTAAATTTGTTTATTAGATCTAACAGTTGTTTTGTGGAATCATTAGGGTTTTCTTCATATAAGATAATGTCACCTCTTGGCAGATAATTTTATTTCTTCCTTTCCAGTTTGGATGTTATCTATCTATCATCTACCTATCTTCTATTCTAACTGGTCCAGATAGATTTTTGAATACTATTTTGACTAGAAGTTATCTAAACAAGTGTCCTTGTATTGCTCCTGATCTTAAGGAAAACATTTTCAATCTTTCACCATTGAATATTATGTTAGCTGTGGATTTTTTGTATTTGGCTTTTCATCATGATGTGGAAAGGCTCTATTCCTAGCTTGTTTACTGTTTTTATATGAAAGTCTATTGAATTTGGTCAAATGCTTTCTCTGCATCAACTGAGAGGATCCAGTGGGGTTTTTTGTTGTTAATTCTGCTAACATGGTATATCACACTAATTGACTTTTGTCTATTGAATTATCCTTGCATTTGAGAAGTAAAACTCATAAATTCACATTGTATAATTTTTTATATGCTGCTAAATTTTATTTGCTAATATTTTGTTGAGGATTTTGCATCATTATTCATAAGGGATATTGATCTGCCATTTGCTTTCTTATAGCATTTCTGACTTTAGTATCAGGATAATGCTGTCCTCATAGAATGAGTTAGGAAGTATTCCCTCCTCTTCAGTTTTCTGAAAGAACTTGAGGATTAGTTTTAATTCTTCTTCAAATATTTGGTAATATTCACCCATAATGTCGTCTGGTCCTGGATTTTTCTTTGTTGGAAAATTTTAATTAGGATTCAGTATTCATCTTAATTAGGGGTCTATTTAGAGATTTCTTCATAAGTCAGTTCTGGTAGATTGTATATTTCTATCAATTTGTTCATTTCCTCTAGGTTATCCAGTTTTTCGTGTACAGTTGTTCACAGTGTTGTCTTACAATGCTTTTTATTCTTTTAAAATTGGTTGTAATGTTCCCACTTTCTGTTTTGATTTTTAGCAATTTGAGTATTATTTTTCCATAATCAATTTAGCTAAAGTTTTGTCATTTTTGTTCATCTAAAGTGCATCTTTTGTTAGCAGCATATAGTTGATCATTTTAAAAAAAAAATCCATTCTGTAAATTTCTGCCTTTTGAATGAAGAGTTTTGTCAATTTAGATTTAAAATAATTACTGATAAGGAAAGACATTTCTGCCATTTTGATACCTATTTTTTGTATGTTATACTTTTTGCCCTTCATTTCCTCTAATTCCATCTTTTCTGTGTTTAGTTGACTTTTTGTAGGGACATGTTTTGATTCCTTTCTCTTTTCTTCATGCATGCATCATAGATATTTTCTTTGTGATTACCAAGCAAATAATATATAACGTCCTAAAGTTATAATAATTTAATTTGAATTGATACCAACTCAACTTCAATCCATCCAAAAAGTATACTCTTATGCAGCACCCTCTAACTTATCCTTGTTATTAACATCACAAATCATGTCTTTATACATTGTGTGTCCATAACATAAATTTGTAATCATTTTTATGTATTTGTCTTTTGAGTATTATAGATACAGAATAGAGTTACAAGCCAAAATTATAATAATGATGGCTTTTATATTTGCCAATGGACTTATCTTTGCCAGAGATCTTTATTTCCTCATGTGGTGGAAGTTACTGTAGAGCATTCTTTCATTTTAACCTGAAGAATTCCCTTTAGAAGGTTTTTTGTCTGTTTGTTTTTTTGACAGTGTCTTGTTCTGTCACCAGACTGGAGTGCAGTGGTGTGATCTCGGCTCACTGAAACCTCCTCCTCCTAGGTCCAAGTGATTCCCCTGCCTCAGTCTCCTGAGCAGCTGGGACTATAGGCATGTGTCACTACGCCAAGCTAATTTTTTATATTTTAGTAGAGACAGTGTTTCACCATTTTGGCCAGGATGGTCTTGATCTCTTGACCTCGTGATCCACCTGCCTCGGCCTCCCAGGGTGCTTGGATTACAGGGGTGAACCACCATGCCCAGCCTAGAAGTTTTAATAGGGCAGGTCTACTATTAATGCCATGATTGCCAGGTGATTTTCATATTGGCTTTTGCTGGAGCACTCTTTTGAGAGTTCCACAAAACTTTCTTACCATTTTGAAGATAGACTTTTCTTAATTAGGTATTCTCTTGGATGCTATAAATCTGTGACTATTTTCTGGAGCTCTGACAAAGTTGGTTCTGATAGATTATTCTAATTTTTTTCAATGTTTCTATCAGGGAATGAGAGTTTGGATGTTTTCAGCTTGCCATTTTGCTCATGTTTGCCTGTTGCCTTTAAGGAGTGATTTGAAAGCTACCAGAGAACACTTTGGCTATATCTTATTAGAAAATAGTCACTTAACCACACTACCACTAGCTTTCACACATATTCTAGCTTCTTCCCCATTCTGACGATCTTTTTCACCATTTGACATTGCCAATTTAATAATAAGCACATCACAAGGCAGCCATATTGTCTATATGGTACTAGTTCCATTTGTCTTTCCATCTTGCTATACAAAAGATGGTATATGAAATGACAACTATGTCCTCAAGGAGCTGTTCATATAGCATCTAGTTTATGTTATGAAAATTCACGGTAGTGGAAAGCCTATATGTATTTTGTTTCATGAGTAGGTAAAGGGAAATATATGAAACATTACAAAATTAATGTTGTCTAGTGGAGTAAAAACATGTAATTTAAATATACACTTAATTGACATGTAGACAGATTGAGTAGAATGAACTTATTAAGTTGTGAAAGACTACTCCTTTGAATTTCCTGTTTTTTAACAGAACTATACAGTTGAAATATTTTAATTCTTAGATTGTGTTCTACTGTATCCAAACATAAATCTGTACTTACCGACCACTTTGTTTAAATCCAATCGAATTATTAGGTCGCTAATTGATGGGTACACTGCTGGAAGATTTTCTGCTGTATTTGGAAGTTCTGAGGCTGCTTCATTTGTAACTGTAAGAATAATAGATTGACAGAGTCATTGATTTAAAAAACTAACATTTTGTGAAACACCTAGGAATGCATGTAACCAAGAATGCAGTTAACCAGAAACACCAGGAATGCATGTAGATGCAGTTCTCTACAAGGAGAACTGCAAAAACACTGCTGAAAGAAATCAGAAATGGCACAAATAAATGAAAAAACAGTCCCTGCTCATGGATTGAGAGAATCAATGTCATTAAATGGCCATACTGTCCAAAGCAATTTACTGGTTCAATGGAGTCCTATCAAACTACCAATGTCATTTTTAACAGAATTAGGAGAAGCTATTCTAAAATACATGTGAAGCAAAAAAAGAAGCCTAATAGCCAAAGCCATCCTAAGCAAAAAGAACAAAGCTGAAGGCATCATACTATCTGACTTGAAACTATTTTACAGGGCTACAGTAACCAAAACAGCATTGTGCTGGTACGAAAACAAGCACATAGACCAACAGAACAGAGTAGAGGACCCAGAAATAAAGCCACATACCTACAATCAACTGATCTTTGAGAAACCCAGAAAAAATAAGCAATAGGGACTCCCTACTCAATAAATGATGCTGGGATAGCTGGCAAGCCATATGCAGAAGAACGAAATTGGACCCCTGCTTTTTACCATATACAAAATTTGATCAAGAAGGATTAAAGATTTAAATGTAAGACTTCAAACTATAACAATCCTAGAAGAAAACCTAGTAAATACCCTTCTCAATATCAGCCTTGGCAAAGAACGTATGGCTATGTCTTCAAAAGCAATTGCAACAAAAACAGAAATTGACAAATGGGATCTAGTTAAACTAAAAATCTTTTGCACAGCAAAAGGAACTACCAACAGAGCAGACAACCTACAGAATAAAAGAAAAATATTCATGAACTATGCATCTAACAAAGGTCTAGAATCTATAAGGAACTTAAACCAACAAGCAAAAAACAAATAACTCCATTATAAAGTGGGGCAAAGGACATAAACAGAAACGTCTCAAAAGAAGATATACGAGTGGCCAAGGAACATATGAAAAAATGCTCCACACCACTAATCATCAGAGAAATGCAATTTAAAACCACAGTGAGATACCATCTCACTATTCTATTGGATATAGAAAATGTGGTACCTATATACCATGAAGTAATATATAACCATTAAAAAGAACAAAATCATGTCTCCAGCTGCAACATGGATGCAGCTGGAGGTCATTATCCAGAGGGAGCTAATGCAGAAACAGAAAACCAAATACTGCATCTCTTCCTTATATGTGGGAGATAAACATTGGGTACACATGGACATAAAGATGGGAACCATAGACACTGTGGAATACTAAAAGGGGGAGGAAGTAGGGGTAAAATGATCTCTTGGGTATTATGCTATCTGGGTGACGCGTTCAGTCATACCCCAGACTTCAGCATCACACAGTATACTTTTGTAACAAATCTGCATGTGTACCAGCTGCTTCTAAGATAGAAGCTGAAAAAGTAAAAAAAAGTACATACAGTAAAAAACAACAAAAACCCTAATATTTTGTTTGAGGCAGAAGTACAGTACCTAGTACTAATTAGAGATATTTTACCTCCCAATCATCTAATCATCTAACCTTATTTACTTTGCAATTTAACATGCTAATTATTCAATTGAATACAAATATGTTAAATAATTTCAAATTCATACAAAATAGCTACTATATGCCACCTTTTATACTAAGTACTTTTGAAGTATTATCTCATTTAATTATTACAATAATTGAAGAAAATAAGTATTTTATCTCCATTTAACAGATGACGGAAATAGAACTTATTGATATTATGCATATTGTGGAAGGCCACATAGTTATTAAATATAAAAGCCTGGAATGAATTGATTCCTTTAGTTTCCGAAATCTGTTCTCCAACTAATAAACTCAAATATCTACTGAGACTGAGTATGTAATATGAGTGTAATGAGCCTGGTGATGATAGGGATGGCATAAAGAGCAAGGTGAAATGGAGAGTACCTGTTTTATTAAAAAAAAAAACACCATTATTCTTACCACTACAAATGCATGACAGATATTCTCAGGTGTTCTAAATTCCCCAAAGAAGCTAGAAATCTAGATATTTACAACAATTTTCAAAATTTCAAAATATTTGCAGATAGTTTAAGACTTCTATATTCATGTTTGAAGGACAAATCTTCAGCTAGTACTACAAGAAAATTATCTGTCTTTAGAAAAGGATTAATTCTAATATATGGGTGCAATTTAAGGGCCAATCACTGGTATATTTCCTTGGAAAATATGATCATTTACCCACCAATGTATCTCTCTCTGATCTAGGACGATGGAAAAGCAATTTTGGATTACATAGTATATATGTTTATTCCTCACCAGATCACTTTGGAGATCTAGAGCATTATGGTTTTTTTCTAAAAACAGATAGTTACTATAGGTATTTAAACTGTGTTCTTAGTAATCTCCAAAGTACTCAAAGTCAGAAAGTCATATAGTAATCTTGCAAAATCTCTGGTTATTTTCTATTTTTAAATCCTTAAGAAGATGACAGAATAAAGCTCCCCTTTGACCTCATTTTTCCTATAAAACCCCCAGAAACAAAAGAAAAAAAGTAAGAATATTTCCATAGCCCCCTGATACTAAAAGTACTGTCATGAAATCTGGCACAAGGCTTTGGAGAATACTAAGAGATAATAGTCATGCTGTCTTGAACCTATAACAGTACACAGGTTTTCCTCCAAAGTGTCATCACTGATAGGCATGCCTAATATGCCTTTATAGTAATAATCATATTTAGGGTGCTAAGAAAGAAGAGTTGAAGAAGAAACTACACTGATGGACCATTTCTATTGCTTGAAACAGAGATTCCTAATAGAAGTTAGGGATGCTGACAGTAAAAACAGCTAAAAATAGAGGGAGGAAGATAGTGCTAAACTGCAACAGACAAAAGACACATATGTGAGTTGCAATAGCTTCTTTAACAACAACAAAAAACGATTTAATAATATGACACCAAGCCTGGACAGAATCTATCAATTTTCCCACAAAATCTCGTCCTCTGTCAACCTACCCCACATATACATTCCACTAATCACTTTACTATTTAGAAGGTCCCATTCAAAAATTAATAATAATCCAACCAGCATGAGAAGCAAGCACAGAAACTGCAACAATCACAAAGAAACCTAAAAGATAAATAACCAGGAAAATCACAGAGTGATGTAAGTAAGATGGCAGAATAGAAGATCTCCCAGCATCGCTTCCCCTAGAAAAAAAATACAACTAGAAATTATTCAAAGACAAGAATACCCTGAATTCACCAAAATTCAAGGGAGAAGTGGAGAAACTTCTAGGAGACACAGAATCAAGAAAACCTGATACTGGTAAGATGAATAATCACTTTAAAGCAGGGCTAATGCCACTCACAGAATTTCCCTAGACACATGGTTCCCAGGGTGGGAGGAGGAAATTGGAGGTGAATGTTCAATCTCCCAGCTGGTTATAGAATCTTCACAGGAAGCTCACTCCAGTCCTGTCTCATGGAACATTTAAATTGCTGGGAGGACTGAACCACCTCGGATGAACTGTGGTCAAAAAGGGAAGGTTCTAATTACATTGACTGGCATGTGAATTTTTGTAGGTGTTCTGTGCTCCAATTAGTGAAGATATCACATTGAGTAAAGTGGATGGCCCACAGTCCTGAAGAAGACACAATACACAGGAACGACCAAATTCCTGGCTGGATTTCCCACAAAGTCCACATATTCATGTGAAGCCTTCTCCTGACCTGGAAACATCTACATGTTTGGTATTTAAGTTCTGGTGCTCACTTAAAAATACAAACTATTTCTATTAATAGTTTTTGTAACTGAAGAACAATGGCAGGGCAGCAACATAGTTCTGGAGCAGTGTTGAAGTTACAGGGCTCACTATAAGTCTTCCACAGACTGGAAAACAACAGGGCAGTGATTTATTTCCAGTGCACCATTTAATTTCCAGTTCTCACTATAAGTCTTCCCCAGACTGAGAAGCAAGAGCAGACTAGTGATTAAGTTCTAATATTAAGCAGTAAAGGCTTAACACTGTCAAAAACACCTGCAAAAGCTCAATGTGCAGACATCAACATAAAAATGCAAGACTTGTAAAAACTCAGGAAAATATGACACCACCAAAAAACAGCAAAAAACTTTCAGTAATGGATTCAGAAAAACTGAAGATCTATAAAATGATTGACAAATAATTCAGAATAATCTTATTTTAAAAGTTAAAGGAATTACAAAAAAATACAGATAGAAAACTAAATGAAACTTGGAAAACAATTCAGGAACAAAATCAGAAATTTAACCAAGAAATAGAAACAATTTTTTAAGACCAAAGAGAAACTCAAAATAAAGAATATGTAAATTGAACTAAAAAATTCAAAGAAAGCGCCCCCGCAGTCATGGCTGCCGCCGTTGCTGCTGCCAGTGCCCGGAAACCCCAGTCCCCGGAAGAATTGCTCCTGAAAGGCGACGCGGAGAAGCCTGAGGAAGAGCTGGAGGAGGACGACGATGAGGAGCCAGATGAGACCCTGTCGGAGAGACTATGGGGCCTGACGGAGATGTTTCCCGAGAGGGTCCGGTCCGCGGCCGGAGCCACTTTTGATCTTTCCCTCTTTGTGGCTCAAAAAATGTACAGGTTTTCCAGGGCAGCCTTGTGGATTAGGACCACTTCCTTTATGATCCTGGTTCTTCCCTTTGTCTTTGAGACTGAGAAGTTGTAAATGAAGCAACAGCAGCAACTGCAGCAGCGGCAGATACTTCTAGGGCCTAACAGAGGGCTCTTAGGAGGAATGCCAGGGGCTCTACTCTCACTTCCTGGAAAGATCTAGGTTGTTACTGCTGTTTGAGCTGTCTCGGTGAGATAAGTTTGAAATTCAAGTGTTTGAACTGCTGATTATTTGGATTTTTTTTTTTTTAACTTTGACACATTGATCTATTGAAACCTAGTG